ATGACAGCCCTGCAGAAGAATGTTAATGTTTTGTAGGCTTTTGAAATCTAAATTAGTTTTGGCTCATCGACTGCAGAACTTACAGAGAAAGGTATGTCATTAATATCTTCTGCATCTTCCCCGTCAAGCCCGTCAATTCCTGGTAGTCCCGGTATGCCGTCTTCACCCTTCGGCCCTGGTGGTCCCACTGGTCCAGGAGGGCAATTGTTTTGCGTGTTGCAGCCTTGAAAAGATGATTTCGCACTATATTCTTATGGGCTATCATAAAATTAAAGTGGTTTTCAAAGCTGACTGGAGTGCTAGATTGAGAAATTTTCGGTTGCGTGGAAATTGCATTTAAGAGGTTTCATATAATTAAATTAGTTTATAGATTCTCACTAGTCTTATTAAAATCCCTCATATATGATTTGAGATTGTTTTAAGCAATAATGTAAAAGAAGGTTCGCCAGAGCTAAAACAATTTTCTTTTGGCTGGAATTTAAAAGAAATTTTTATTTTATTTTGGTTTTGTTGCGGATTGAAATGAAATGAAAATTGCTTTTAAGTACAAACAAAATGAAAAAGGTGGAAAATTTTGTTTCATTTTGGACCTGAGTTTAACTAAAACATATTCCTAAAAATCTAAAAAACTTTACTGCTTATTCTCATTTACTGCTAACGGTTGAATAGAACTTACTGCACGTCGGGTTTTTACGTGGCAGCCCAGAACGCAGCATTTCTTGTGTAGTTTGTGAATGATTTGGCAACCCGTTTTCTTGAGCTTTGTCTTCAGTAGAGGCACCTGATACACTGCTCAACTGTTCTGTATTCTTCTCCAAAACCTGCTTTCCCTTTTCCAAATCTCCATTTATAGAAGACTGTCCTGATGGTCCGCCGGGGTAATTGTTCTGGCTTCCGATAGTATATCCGCCATACTGCCTCCTCTGACGTGTCGATGGTGTTGCAGCTCCTAATTTCAGCATCTCAGCCCATAAGTCGTTTGTGCGTACCTGTTTTGATGCGTGTTAAAGTTTTACGGTTGAGCCGGTATTTTTTAATTTAATGAATGACCACTGTATCATGCTGCTAAATTTTATATAATTCTAGTCCTCTAGTTTATTTAACTGTAATTAGACAACTGGAAAGAGGTTTATTTAACTGCAGTTAGAGAAGCAAAAAGTATTACTAAGTATTACTTTTAGTGAATCAACTTCCACATCTAAGTCTTTCCATGCGTCACCAACTTCATTAAAAATTTGTGAAACACCGATGAAGCAGAGGAAGAAGGTCGCTGCCGAGAAGGTTAGCACAGTGACTATTGCGCCCTCAAGTGCCATCTAAAAAACTACAGCTTGAGGCAAAGTTACAATTGAGGTGAAGATTGCGACGAATGTATATCTAGAGCGAAATTTTGTTATTTTGAGGACGTCTAGACACAGTTTCTGTTTTCTTTTTTTTTTTTTGGTGACAAACAGTACTAGTAAGCAGTAAAACTGTTCAGGTGAATAGAACCAATTAAAAATAGTCATCATTCTTTGGAAGCGCTATTTTAATTAATTCGACAAGACCAACTGGAATGACTTCAGTTGGCTTTGTTAAAATTATCCGTCTAGAGGCATGAATGAAGTTTCGGGACAATAAAAAGAAAAATCTCCGTCTCTTACAACATGGTATCCACCTTTCAACAGTGTCTCTCTGGTCGTCTAAAACAAAAAAAAATTTTTCAACAAGAACAACGGAAGTTGGTTTCATCAGTGGAGAAATTCAGTACCAATTTGGTGTAAAAATTTTTTGGGGCCAAAATAGTCTGTTTTGGAAAAATCCTATGACTATAGCTCAGTGGCGCTGTGTCATACGGAGGTACTCACACGGTGAACAAGCGATCTTCAAGAAGGCATGCCAAACTTTTGTGTTACATGTGTACATGACGTGTTACTAGGAGCGTTTTATTTACCAGTGTTTTAGCTGCTTATATTCCATATTTCTCGCTTTTTGGCCTTTCTGGCCTTTCGTCAAAATTGGCAGAAATTTGGGTGTTTTCATGTTTAGAATTTACATTCTAGCTTTTTTTACTGTAATTTTTTTACTGTGATAGTTCTCTTACTTTTTTTACTACAGTAATCTACGTAGTTGAAGGTTATAAAGAAATGGGTTAAGGATACAAGCTGCGAACACTTATGAGGATAATAAACGTTTTTAAAGTGATAGCCTATTTCTTTATAATTAAGAAAATATTGAAAA